AAGTCCTATAGTAAGTGCTTCAGAAATATAATTTGTCAAAATTCCCTTTAAAACTCAAGTCTGGCGGGAGAGCTGCTGCTTTGTTCCCAGCTGCTGGCTGGGAATGAAGCCCAGGGCCCACAGCGCAGCTCAGGGCCCTGATGGCAGCACCATGAGGCAGCTGCACACAGGCTCTCCGCATGATGTCATGGGCTGCTGAGGGTGATGTCATGGGCCAATATGAGATTGCTGTTATTAGGAAGTCCTATAGTAAGTGCTGCAGAAATAGAATTTGTCAAAATTCCCTTTAAAAACTCAAGTCTGGTGGGCGAGTTTTTGCCGGCTGCCAGCTGGCAATGAAGTGCGTGGCCCACGGGCAGTGCCATGAGGCGGCCCACGCACAGGCTCTCCACGTGACGTCACGGGCCACAGCGGGTGATGTCACGGGCAGAATGAGATATGAGATAGATGTTACTAGGAAGTCCTATAGTAAGTGCTTCAGAAATATAATTTGTCAAAATTCCCTTTAAAATCTTAAGTCTGGTGGGCGAGCTCTCGCTGGCTGCCAGCTGAGAACAAAGCCCAAGGCCCACAGGGCAGCTCAGGGCCCTGAGGGCAGCGCCATGAGGCAGCCGCGCGCAGGCTCTCTACGTGACGTCATGGGCCGCTGAAGGTGACGTCACGGGCCAGAATGAAATTGGTGCTATTAGGAAGTCGTATGGTAAGTGCTTCAGAAATATAATTTGTCAAAATTCCCTTTAAAACTCAAGTCTGGCGGGAGAGCTGCTGCTTTGTTCCCAGCTGCTGGCTGGGAATGAAGCCCAGGGCCCACAGCGCAGCTCAGGGCCCTGAGGGCAGCGCCATGAGGCGGCTGCGCACAGGCTCTCCGCATGACGTCATGGGCCGCTGAGGGTGATGTCATGGGCCAATATGAGATTGCTGTTATTAGGAAGTCCTATAGTAAGTGCTGCAGAAATAGAATTTGTCAAAATTCCCTTCAAAAACTCAAGTCTGGTGGGCGAGCTTCTGCCGGCTGCTGGCTGGCAATGTGCATGGCCCACGGGCAGCGCCATGAGGCAGCCCACACGCAGGCTCTCCACGTGACGTCATGGGCCGCTGAGGGTGACGTCATGGGCCAGAATAAAATTGGTGCTATTAGGAAGTCCTATGGTAAGTGCTTCAGAAATATAATTTGTCAAAATTCCCTCTAAAAACTTAAGTCTGGCGAGTGAGCTCCTGCCGGCTACTGGCTGACAACGAACCCCACGGGGCTGCTCAAGGCCCTGAGGGCAGCACCATGAGGCAGCCGCGCGCACGCTCTCCGCGTGACGTCACGAAGCGCTGAGGGTGACGTCACGGTCCAGGCGGGGCTGCTCGGTCCGCCCGGGTCAGGCCTCGCTGTGAAACCTGAACCCGCTCGGGAACAAACTGTGCCGCACTGCTGCTGCCACACGGACACTGGAGCGTCGGCTCTGTCCGCCCCTGCGTTCCGATCGCTCCGCGGCCGCGCCCTGCGGGGTCCCCCGAGCTGGAGGGGGCTGCGGGCGGCTGAGCGGCTTCTGCTGCCTCCGTGTGATCCTCGCGTGTGTTTGTGTTTCTCCCGGCGCCTGCCTAGCATTCAGATTTACTTTTGCAGTGCAGTCAGGGCTTTGGGCAGCTTCCAGGTTGAAGGAGACCAGGTTGCTCAGAGCTCCATCCAGCCTGGCCTTGAATGCTTCCAGGGATGCGGCATCCGCAGCTTCGCTGGGCAACCTGTGCCAGTGCCTCAACACCTTCACAGCTCAGAACTTCCTCCTAATATCTAATCTGAACCTACTCTCTCTCAGTTTGAAGCCATTCCCCCTTGTTCTGTCACTCCAGGCCCTTATGAATAGTCCTTCACCATCTTTCTTGTAGGCTCCCTTCGGGTACTGGAAGGCCGCAGTTAGGTCACCCCTAAGCCTTCTGTTCTCCAAGCTGAACAATCCCAAATCTCTCAGTCTTTCCTCAAGGAAAGCTGCTCCATCCCTCTGATCATCTTGGTGGCTTCCTCTGGCCTCACTCCAACAGCTTCCATGTCCTTCCACCCCTGCAGGTGGGGTCAAACCAGACGGGGGGCAGAGGGGCAGAATCCCCTCCCTGCCCTGCTGCCCACAGGGCTTTGGGTGCAGCCCAGGGCTGCTTTCTGGGCTGCCAGAGCACATTGCCATGTCATGTCCAGCCTCTCATACACCAGCACCCTCAAGTCCTTAAGTCTGAAGTTAGTGTTTTAAGTGGCACCTCTATCTTAATTTTCAAATGCAAGGCAGAGTGAGACAAAGCAGCCACTCACTCAGACCCTCTGGCCTTGCCTTGAACATTCCCAGCCTCTGGCTGCCAGGCAACAGCCCTGTGACATCGTAGCTTGATGCCACCACCTGGCACAGAGCCCGTGGGCACAGCTCAGCTCGGGGTCAGGCCCAGAGAGCGCAGCTCCCAGCTGGGGCAGCTGTGCCATGCTCCGCCCGGGGCTCTCCCTGCTCCTGGGGCTCTGCGTGGCCTCGCTGCTCGCCAGCACGCCCAGAGCTCTCAGCCGTCCCCCCAGGAGCGCGGCCCGGCTGCCTGTGCCAGCCCGGGGCGCGCAGCAGCCGGGCCCCGGCACGGGCCGTGCCGGCCTGTGGCCCCTGCAGCTGCACTGCTGCACCTTCCTGGCCCTGTCCCTGCTGCTCGCCGCGCTCTGCCTCGGCTGCAGCCTCCGGAGAAAAGCCCAGAGGCAGCGGAGAGAGGTGAGGGACGGGCACCGGGCAGGTGGGATGGTGCCAGGGGCCGGCAGCTACAGCCTGTAGGGTGAGCAGGAGTGCCAGCCCCTGTGCAGAGGAAAGCCTGGGCAGGCACCAAGGGTCCTCTGCCTCTTCCCCAGCCCCATGCCCAAGCCCAGGAGCAGAGGTGGGGCTCAGCCCTCTCCTTCCAGGAGGAAACAAGGACAGGCTGAGCCACCAGAACAAGACAGACCCTGCCCGACATCCTCTCCACCCAACCTGCAGCCTGGGGCAGCCCAGCCAGGCCCCGGGAGAGCCCAAGGGGGCCCAGCCCCTGCAGCCCCTCTGCCCCTCTCATCGTGCTCCCTGCCCTGTGTCTCCCAGGAGAAGAACTGGACACGCTCAGCCTGGCCCAGGACCTGCTGCCTGGCTGACTGCTCCCCACTCAATGAGGAGCTGATCGGCCGCCAGAAGGAAAACTCTGCCTCCATCAAGGGCTTCCTGAGGCACCTGCGCCAACGCTGCCTGCAGGGGGACGCGCTCCAGAGGGGAAGGAACAACCAAGTGTGGAAGGACTTGGACGAGGAGGCAGCGCTTTTCTCTGATTGAGAAAACAACACCTGCTAGGCAAATGGAGCAATATACTGCAAGATTACTCATACAGATTTCATTGTTATTAAAATAGTTTATTTAGAAAGACACCCTTTATTAGCAGTGAATGAGTTCATTATCAGAGAGATACCATTGAAATTTTATTTTCAAAAATTGTAGTTTGGCTGAAGCAGGTGATTTTCTGTCAGCTTGTTTGCAGAGAATGAATGATACTGTTCACTGTTGCAAGAGCCAGTGGAATATGGTTAATATTACAAGCTACATACTGGGCTTACTCCTAGGAAAAAAAACTGAGGAGTTAAAATCTACTTCATCTAGAGGGGTCAGGATAATCTTTTGCATAATAAATATCCTTTCACTTCTTATGTGCTTCTTGAGCAAGAGATTATGTGAATTCTGCAAACCGAACAACCTTGTCTTGATGTAAGAAGAGCTTTAGAGTTTCAACTTTAAGAGGCCAAGCTTTGCAAATGAGAATTTGAGGTGTCAGCTAAAATAAATTTACAATGTAAGTAAATCTATAAGGACATCTGGACTCATTTCATGGTTCTACAAAGAAGAGGAGCAACAGGCTGGAAGTGTGGAGGCACTTTGGGAACAGTGGACAGCGTGGACTGGGATAATGAAGTGTCTCACACATACACAGCTGGTTCCCAGGACTGATGATAGTGACCATCAGAGAAGGTGTCATGGACATGGGATTCATGTACAGCTGCCCTTGATCCTGGGAAGGCAGCTTCAGTAAACAACATGTTCTCTACACCACTTCTGCAACAAAGTGGACAGAAATGAATAAAAACTCTCTAGCAGAACACAATAGTTAAATGCTCATTGAGGCAGAAGGATGTAAAATATCTGATTGTTGCAAGAATTTCCTAGCAAGTCTATTATGAAATATATGTATTTTAAATCAATGAGGTTAGTTTTGAGCAGCTGTCAGAAGTCACATGTGTAGATATATATATCAATATGTGTATATTGTATAGCGTATTATATAGTGCATACTGTGTTACATACATGTGTAGTGATATGATACCTTTGTACACTGCATATTAATATATGTATATTGCATATTGCATTATATATATCTACACCGATGTAGATATATAGATGTATTGTGTATTGGATGATATATCTGTATATTGATAAACTGTATCTGCATATTGATAGAAATATATATATTGATATATGGGTATGTAGAATGTTTTATATTTGCATTTTTGTATGATATATATATCATACATCTATTGCATATTGTAGGTTATATATATATGATATATGATATATGATATCTACATGATATATATGTATATTGCATAGATGTAGAGGTACATTACATATTCTATATGTATATTGATTATATACCGATACGATATATACGCATATTGATATGAAATATATGTATATTGTCCTGGGGCTCACGGTAACGACACCGGAGGTTACTATCCACCCCCCTGCGACACAGATGGCCTCTGTGGGGCCGCGCTGCTTTGCCCGGAGCCGTGCCTGGCGCCGATGGTGCTGCCGGACCGGAGCAGGGAGCGCCGTCCTGGGCCGGGCCCCGCCATGCCCGCCCCGCGGGGCGCCATTGGCCCTGCGGAACGCCAATCATCAGCGCCGCCACTTCCGGCCGCGGGGCGCGGCCCGGCCAATGGGCGCGGGGCGGGGGCGGGACGCCTCACGCTCACCGAGGCAACGGGCGGGCGAGCGGGCGGTCCCGGATGGCGGCGGTGCAGGGTGAGTGCGGCGCCGTCGCGAGGCTACCCCGGCCCGCCGCTCCTGCCTCCCCCGGCACGGCCTCTGTGCCCGCGGGGCTGCGCGGGCCGGGAGCGGGCCTGGGGCAGGCCGCGCGTCCGCCGGTGGGGCTGCCCCGGGTGACGTCACCGCCCCCGCGTGACGTCACGGGCTGGGCGGCGGGAGCGGCGCGCCGCCGGGATCGGGATGGAGGCGCGGGAGGGAATGCCTCGCCCCGACCCGACCCTCCCCTCGCCTCGCGCGTCTGTGTTCTCCCAGTGACCGTTCCGGAGTCCGAGTGCCTTTTGCAGTGCCCTCGGGGCTGCTTGGGTCAAATCGTTTCGGTTGCTGTTCTCCAGCAGTCACGCTGTTGTGTGTTCTTCCACCGTTCCTGGCGCTGTTCGGATGGGGAGCAGGAAATGGGTAGCAGGGAGGGATGAAGTCAAGAGTGGTGGAAGGAAGTATGACAGCCCAGGAGGGAGAGCTGATACATCTTAGAAGAGGCTTGGATGGGAAAAGTTGGGTCCAGTGGGAGCTCAACACGTGGAAGCAGCAGGTTTGCGAATGGAATGTGAAAGGACTTGAAGAGCAGTTTGAGATGGGAGGTGTTTGAGAAAATTGAGGTGGTGTGGAGGAAGTGTTACAAACGGAAGCAAACGAGAGAGACAGGTTGTCTGTATGTTCTCTCTAGAAATAAACACGTCTTTAGATCCAGCTCTGAGCAAAGGCCTAGTGAGGATTTTCAGCCTGCAGCTACATTGTTAGCAAGTCTTCAAGTGACATCTCCATCTTAATTTTCAAAAGCTATTTTGTCATCATTATTGCTTTCCCTACTACCACGCTATTTCTTCCATTCCTGGGAGAGTTTAAATTCTTTACTTGCTCCTCTCTCTGTTTACTGAAGTCTGTGCTGTGCCCTTGTTGCAGGAGTGACTTTCTGTAGGGTGCAGCAAGATGCAGCAAAGAGGACCAATGGTTGCTGGAGCCATCTTTACTATTATTGGTAAAAAGGAAGTAAATGCAGTGATGAATACTTTAATTTTAGCTCTGAAATTTTTTCAAGTGACTATTACAATTGGGTGTAATCCATAAACCTTGTCTCTCTGTAGAGCCTGTGTATTGTAGTAGCCTTTCATTTTTTGTCAGGACATATATAATTATAACAATAAGTTCATATTTAATTTTGAAAAGTAAATTTATAAGTGTATGAAGATTACTAGGTATGTTTAGCATTTAGGAAGAAATTATGGTGAATAAGTAACTTCCTCCAGAGCTGTGCTGATTCTTCCTATCAAAAGAACAGTTATGGCAAACCAGCTGGTTTGTTCTGTGGCAGTGCTGAATCTTGGTAAACATAATTTACATTGTTTGGGCCATTTAAATGGAGTGGTATTTAATTGCTGGAGTCAGCCATATAGCATTTCAAGAGTCAGTGGTTTAAGTCTTATGCATTAAACATCTCATTTTTCCTCTTCTGTTCACCTTTCAGTGTTCTTGGGTTACAAAGTCCTTTTTGAGATGGTAGGAGTGATAGATGTGATACTGGGATATAGAGGTGGAGAGTCAGAGAATGGTTTGCATTGGAAGGGACCTTAAAATTCATCTAGTTCTTAATATATAAACTATCTTAATATATTCCAGAGGTTTTCTCCATTAGCACTACATACTTTTCACTTTCTTAAGTAATTCAGTGTGTGGAATGCCTCTGTTTTACCTTCTGAAGTAGACAAATGTTTTTGTGTCAGGATTAATATGTAGTAGACTGTGGATAAGAGCAGCAGTAAATACAGACAGTTTCTTTGGCAATTCCTGATAAATACATCATTCTGTATTGTTATTTTTTGTTTCATATACTAGACAATACTGACAGTATTTCCATTAGCTTTCTATAAACATTAATTTCCTTAGCATCTGAAGGGTAACCATCAAAACCAGTAGAGTTACTAAATTATTTGAGCTTGACTTAAGCTTGTTGAGGTTCACTAGTAATCATGGTAGCTCTACTTACCCAGATAAACATTATTTTACCCAGATAAACATTATTACCCAGATAAACATTAGGCTTACTTGGTTTTGTTTTAGAAATAATTTGTCACTAAACAAAAGTTAATCTATTTTTTCTTTTCCTGCTGCAAATTAGTGGGGAATTATAAGGAGATGAGATGAAACAATATAGAAGACTAGGAGTTCATTATAGGATCTTAAATAGGTATTCCCTGCATAGAAAGGAAAAAGTGTGGTGTCTTAAGGGTTAGTCATGTGCCAGTTAGATGTAATGGCTGGAGAAGTTAGTTGTATTGTTGGAAAACAGGACACCATGGAATGCAAAACTTATATTAACAGTTCCTTCCAGTGCCTGGCAAGATCATTAGGTTCAAGTTATGTTGGAGTGAAAAGGCTGCTTTCAGCTTGCAGCATGAACTTTGATTATTTTAGGTCCCATTAATGCTGTTGGCTAGGGAAGAGGCAGAACTTGGAAACCCTGCTTTGGAGAGGTGTGTTCCCCTTGGTTCAAACTCTCTCCTAAAAGTTCTTTGGGATTTGGTTATTTGTGTGAAATTCATCTCTTGAAGTCAGTGTCTAACATATATATCTGATCTGGTTTTAGGATGATTTCTCTCCAGAGTTTCTTTTTGAATGGAAGTGTGCTCCTTGCCAGTAGAAGATGGTGATCCCAATGTATGACCATGGAGAAGGGGATAAGTTCAGTAGAAGTGTTACCTTCCAAATCATCTCAGGTTACAGCTGTAAAAGTGGTGGTCAAAGAGCCCGAAACAAAGCAAACCCAAAGAGGGAAACGAGTGGGATTTGTGCTTGTCCATGCAGGTAAGATGTGGAAGCAGAACAGCTGCAATGGAAATAATGCATATTTGGATATCAAACTAGATACCAGCAAAAATTTTATGGTGGCTTTGGACTACTAGTGTGCTAATAAAGTAACATTAACTCTGAGTTCAAATCTCAGAATGAGGAGTTTGATTGGAAGTTGCACTGGAAACTCTTAATCAAAATGTAGTTATTTGGGTGTTCTGGATGGTATTTTTGTTCTCCTGGACAAAGAAAACCCCTAAATGTAAATGATTATAAAATGTCATATTCTGTACTTGTCTGCTAAGCTTGGCAAACCTACAAAATGAGGGAGATATTTCATTCTGTTTCTTTACCTGTGGAAGGATCAAATACAGTCCTTTCACTGCTGATGGTTCCTTGTCTAGCTTGTCCACGAGGGCAGTCCAGCTAAGACCTTCTGAAATCTGCTTGGGCTGTTTGTTGCAGAACTCTTTTTACCCTTCTGACATTTCTTCTATTTTACTGATCTTGTTCGTATTTAAGTGAGTTACTGTTTGTTCTTTCCACATGTAATGAAGGGCTCCTCTACTCAGATCTGATACAGAAATTGTGTTGTGTGTGTCTTGCTCATACATTCTTCTTTCATAGGTTCTCTATTAAATGTAATGAGTCATGAAGTTAACAAGGCTTATATCTGGGTGTATATTTGTTTTGAGCATCTATGTGAGTACATGAGGTGAAATAGAGCAAAGTGGCCTGGTCATGCCTAAAATATTTGAAAAGCCAACATGAAAAGCTTTATAAAATCATTAAGGCTAAAAAACCAGCCCCAAACCTTAAACAATTTATTCTGGATTGATGTTTGATGACCCTGGTATTCTATTTTAAGGGCAAATGAAATTGCTCAATATAGTGTCCTTTGCTGGGTCACTTTGGTATTGGTGTTAAAGCTTATTTTATTAGAGTTCCTCAAAAGGAGGAACTCTAATAAAATACTCTTCTAAAGGTGAGTAAAGGGAAGTTGAGATAAATAAATACAAGCACGTTTTTAGGTGCAAGACCTAAAACAGAAGTAGATTTTAATTATTTGCTCCACTCTTGTTTTTCTGATGCTGCATTTAGTTGAATGGTGGCATTGATAAACTTTTCAGCTATGGAAGTAGGGGCAGTGGCTTCAAAGTAGGGCAGAATGGTTCAATACAGTGGGATAGATATAAAGACTGAGAATAAGAAAAAGGTGAAAAATCTGAATGATCTTCATTTGAAGGAGCTCCTTGTTCTAAGTCAGGAGTAACAAGCTCTAAAAATGTAGCATAAACATGAGAAAATGAGCAGAATTGTGGAAAGAAGAAAATCAAGAGTTTGACTTAAAATTGAGGCTTTTGCCCAATAATGGACAGTAAAGAAAAAAGCTATGCTGGAAATCCTCCAAGAATGAGTGAAACTGGAATCTCTTGGAAAGTTTTTATAGGAAAAGATTGATGCTGATATTTATACCTGCATGCTTCTGGATATATGATCTGTATCCTGTATTTTACTGAGTGTGTTTGATTCTGTGTTGGAATGCATAAAATTGTCAGTCTTGGTAGAAAAAGGAAATGCCAATGTAATCCAGAATAAGGAACACTATATCTGCCTGTGTCTTAAATCTCTATGTGAACTACAGGCTGTAGTTTGCCAGGGACTATAATATATTTTCCTTTTGTTTCAATTGCAGGTGCAGGTTATCATTCTGAATCCAAAGCTAAAGAGTACAAGCATGTGTGCAAAAGAGCCTGCCAGAAGGTATTATCACCAGCTCCACAGTCCTCTACTGGGTACACAAGAAATGTCTGCACTTAGCTGCTTGGGCTCTATGTGTTTATGGAAGGAAATGAGGGAAAACAGAGCACAAACAGTTAAGATGATATAGAGCAGGACAGTGAGTGGCCATGAGGTGTAGCAACATTCTCATCAGTGCTGGCAAATAGCAGACACCAAATGAACAGTGGGAGGGCAAGAGAAGGTCACAGTGGTACCTACAAGGAGTATTCCTACAGCTTTCTGCACTTCTCCAGGGTTTCTGGAGCTAAGTATGGTGTCTGTATGTTGATTTCTTCCATGTCCACTCTTTGGAGTTTATTTAAACTCTAGCATCCAGGTTGCTCTGTGAATGCAGGAGTTTCTATAATTATTTTATTCTTGATAGCTCTTACCCTCTTAATAGGAAGGGAGGTAGAAACAGGAAAAACAAAACCAAAAAAATCAAAGTTGGAAACAGGGAAATGGCAAGACTTTAATTTCCATTGAAGTTAATATGTTTTAATCTCTTCCAAGAACTTTGCTTTGGAACTGGCAAGTCCTGTCTTTTAAGTGTTGAATGAGTAGCTGGAAGACCTCTAAAATTTTTAATGTCTTTTGCTTTCTCCAGGGAGAAGGAGCTTGGGAGCTTGGCAGGATTTTTAGAGGAGTCTCAGAGTTGGCCTCTGATAATTATCACTTTGTGTTACAGTTTGTTGCTCAATCCTAATACCAATCTGATTTTGTAATGAGAGGCCTCACAAATCATCCAAAATTAGCACTGGCTTTTTTAGCCTTGGTGAAAGTAATTTTCCAGCTAGTTATGTGAGATCTGCTGTTGAATTCAAGTCCAATTTGAGATTCTGTGTAGCTACTCTTGAGCCCAGTAGCCAACATCAATAACTTCTGTGAAGAACAAATAATTTCAGATTTGTCTTGCAGCCAGAGTTGTTTTCTGGGGTTCCTTGAGAAAGCTTGACTGTAAGATCTTGTTTAGTATGGATCTAATAAATACTATTAGGCTCTCCAAGTTCACTGTTATGTGTGTATGTAATTTGAAGGTAACATTATCTTATGTGATTTGTGTTGGTTTTTAGATGAGGTTGTGAAGTTCTCTTCAATTTTATGGTAACTGCTATATGTGGTACTAGAAATTTTTGTTGAATGTTGGAAGGAAAAATTGAAACTTGTTGACTGAAACATTTGGTGTTTGAGGACATGAAGTACAAGAAGTTAATTTGATAGAAATTTGACTATGCAGAAATCTGCTACTAAATGCAGTGTCATAGTAGCAAAATCATATCTTCAGATCTGCCCCATATGGTTCATACTGACTTTTTTTCCAGTGCCTCTTGTTCTTACACCCTCTTATATTTTAAACTAATTTGGTGAAGATTTTATTTTATACAGGAATAGGAAAATGTAGGGCTCAGTCACAGAATAATAGACTTTCCTAATCATCAGCTAAAACTTGTGTTTTACAGGCAATTGAAAAGCTACAGGCTGGTGCTCTTGCAACAGATGCAGTGACTGCAGCACTTATAGAATTAGAGGTATGAATTTCTGACTAGTAGTAAATATATCTCTTGGGTAAATCTTGCCAGACCTTTCTGTAGGGGGCTATTAAATGGGCTCATGTGAATTTTTGGTTTTGTGCTACACTGATTTTATCTTTTGCTTTTCCACTGTATTTTGGTGTAAATATGTTTAAGTACTTTATAAAAATATAGACTGAATAAAAGTTTTCTAGTTGATGCAATTTGGTTGTCATTTTAGGTATGCCTTATCAGATAGTCTTTAACCTTTAAGAAGAAATGCAGTGATTAAAGACTTATTGAACACTTTGTAAGGAGCTTCATTTCTGGCTTGCTGAGTACAGACAGGTTGTTCTGGCTCTGCTTCTTAGAGAGGGAAAATATATCCTACTGGTTCTGATTATTATGACAAAATATGTGTAGAGGAATGGGCCAGTAGTGTTTTTATTTCAAAACAGTACTTGTTAATTAAGATAGAACATCTTGATGAGCAGCTGCTGGTGAGGTTTTTGGAAAAGTGTCTTTTTAGAGTGATGAGGTTTTTATAGCATCTGCCTTCAGTGAAGGTCCCCATGAAATAATGTAGAAGTGAGTAAAGCTAAACATTTCTGGGTGGTAAATGAAGCAGTTTGGTCATTGTCCCAGATCCACTAATCACTCATGACAGTAATGATGGAAACAGGTATTCTTCTTCTCCTGTAAGTAGCAATTGCTTTTTCCTCTCCAACTTTATTAAAAAAAAAGGAAAGCAAGGTAAGTGTTGTGCTGTAAAAATAATTTCCTGCACTTGGAATTTATGGTAGTATTCCAAGAGGATTAGCAGTGGATTTGCTTATCCAGATGTTGGGAAAGTGTTCATTAATGTACTTGGTGGGGCTGGCGTAAGGCAGGCAGTAAGTGCATACTTCAGTATGTGTTAGACATGCTGACTGGGAGCCAAGGCTTCAGTCACACTGGGAACTTGGCAAGTGCCTTGGCTTTCAGCCCTCCTGTGGGTCTCCCTGAGCTGTTCAAATATGCTTTCATGTGTTATCTTACACATTTGAGTATAGCTCACAGAAAGCAGCAAGTATCTCTCTAATGGGATTATTTACCATGCACTTCCCTGAGCTCACTGAGGCTGCTCTCACTCCATGAGACTGCTTTGTGTGTCAGCTCCCTCCTCAGTGGAAAACAAAAATAAAAATCTACTTTGGGTTGTGATTTTTATTGTGTTCCCGAGCTACAGAGAAAAACATATTTTGAGAAGCTTAACTGAACAGTTGCAGATCTCTTTGCAGCTGTGTCTGGGGTAAATAGTTTGTATGTTTTTGTTATCCCCAAGAAACTTTTCTTTTTCTTTAGTAGATTTGAATACTCCAAAGTAGCTTCTGTAGAACAAGTTATGGCTCTAAGATGAAAAAGTGTTTTCCAATTATTCCAATCAGAATCCTTTTTCTCCTTATCTCTTGCTACTACTGTGCTGATGCCTGCCATCATTCCCCTTTCTGGTTTGGCAATTGTCTTAGGTAGTATTTTTATGTGTTCTGTTGCACAAAACCTTTTTTTTTTCCTTTTTCCTGTTTTTAATATAAAATGTTATTTTGCTCAGGTTGTAGTGCAGTCAATGTAATTAATGTAATTAAGTTAATGTAATTATTTGCTTTCATTTATTCATTAAGTGATTTATATAATCTCTTAGTTGAAGGTTTTGTCTGTTACTGGAACAGGGAGTACTGGGTTTGGGATTTGGCCTTCTTGTAGATTAAAGTAGTTATGCAGTTACATTGAGGGAAAGTCAAATTTATACCCAAACCAGAAAATGATGTGGTTTGCAGTTTTTTGAATCTGGTGTGAGAAACTCCCAGGTGTTAAACTGTCAGCTTCCAAAATATGGAAGAGTTTGTATCTGCTCATACCTCACTCTGAACACCACCTCCTGACATCTCTGTCATTTCTGCAGCTGCTTTAGTACTGGTGGTTTTTCTGTTGCTCTATGGAAAACAAGCTACATGTGGCAAGTCAACAAAGCAATCAGAATAGTTTTTCTCATTAATTGCAAGATTTTATGAGTAAAAATATAGGTTTGTGTTGACAGTCTCTCTAGTGAGCTGTCACTCCCTTTTGTTTAAGCTTTGCATAAACAATGTGTTTTAGCATTTGAAGTTGGCAAATAAATAACAAAAATCTGTGAAACTATTTGTGTTCTTGTCTCCCTGTAACACAAATGAAGATTCAGAACAACAGAATATTGTATTAAATAATAACAAATTTCATTGTAAAGTATACTGACTGTAACTTCTTGGTATTTTGGGTTCTGTAGGACGCATTGCTATGAGTTTATCTGAAATATTTAATCACTTTTACTGTTCTCTCAGACTTTTAATGCTGTATTCCAAACATTTGTAATCTTTGCAAGGCACAAATCCTTTCATGGAAATCTCACAAAAGATGAATTTTTTTCCTCAGTTCCGCTCAGTTACAGAACTCCTGTTACAGAGGATTGCAGCTCATCCAAAAGGCATCGCTTCAAAGAGTTGTTGAGGCACAAGAGTTGCTCTTGATCTTTTATGAGCAAGCTGACAGTTTGCTTGTGGTATGCTGTCTGTGTTTTATTTTTCCAGACTCTAAGTGCAGAAGGAATATCCTTTCTTTGTTGGACTGTGCAACTCTCAAGTGAAATGCTATTCTGTGAATACAGTAATAATGGTCATAGTTAAGTAAAGGAAAAGGTGGGTTTCTTTTGCAAAGGAACAAGACTGACACAGAATATTGTTAAAGCAACTGTGCTGGTCTTCATAAGCATCAGCTATATTTGATAAGGTCATTAAGGCAGGTATGTTTTCTGGTTTGAGAACTCTGGTATTGCAGAGAAACAAATGCACGTGTTACCTCTGTCAGCCTTTGGTAATGAAATGGTCTGGACAAGGTATTTCATAAGACTCATTATTTACTCTGTTAACTTCTACAAAGACATTATTGCAGTACTGTTAATTTTTGCACTCTTGCTATCAGCCATCCTATGATGCCTGGATGTTTCTCGAAACACAATGAAATTATTAAACAGTTTTTTTTTGTTGAGGGAGGAGACCCCATACAACCCACTTAAAATGTTTTCAGCAAAACCACATTTTGATTTGCATTTATGTGGCTGTGAGAAAATTCTGCAATATCAAGCTTTTCTTTGACTAAAGAGCACTTAATGAAGTCTACTGATCAGGTGCTAGGAATATACAGTGGATGTAAAGAATGATGAAGATTTCAAATTGTTTCTAAGTTTAGTGTAATCCTTTACTAATATCTGTGTAGATTACTTGTTTCTTTATCTGACTTTAGTAGCACATTCTTTATGAACATAATTTAAATTGGGAATTAATATGATTGATAGGGAAGTGGATGTCCCATTTTGGGTTCCAATCTCCTTCCTACTGAAATTGCTCAGTTTATTTTGTATGTTGTTATTGTGGATCCATGCAAAGAATGTTTTGGGCCTATTACACTCAAGCAGTGTGTTTCTATGGTTGTCAGCAAAATTTTGTAGTGAAAGAGCCTTTTTCTTGAGGAATTGTTTTATGTTATTTTTTTTTTTTAAATTATTATTTTCCTAGTAGTTAGGACTTTTGAATATACAGCCTTAGTCCCAAGGACTTCTCTTTCAAGGAGAAGCATGCTTGTTGTATTAAGGCAGTCACCACAGATGAACTTCTAATGGGTAATGAACTGGAAGTTGTTAATTACAGTTAAAAGCATTACTATGATGCAGAGTGAGCAACAGTAACTTGTGACAAAAGTGTTGTCTAAAAACATTTTTGCTCATGTAATTGAAAGGGATGTGACTCATCCTCGTAGATTATTGATTGTCATGAAATTCTCACAGAAAAATAACTTCTAAAATTACAGTATGTGGAAAGAAGTGCCTGTAGACTTTGAATTTGTTTTAGAAGTTACAAATAAGCCATGGCCAAAAGTGTATCAAATATGGATGGAATGTTCTTTCATGTTCATTGAAAACCAAGCATTTTAACTGTTTGCCTAGATGTGTTACAGAGCTGAGTAACATCTTCAAGCATTCCAACTTTGTCCACAGCTGAAATTTCAGGATGCCTGTATTTTCTGCCAGAACATTTATAAATACATTTTGAAGTAAAAGGGATTCTGTAAATAAAAATTAGGCCCTCAGAAGCTTGAGAGTTTTCGCAAGATGGGTAACTTGGGAAAACAAAACTCTTATTTCACATCTTAAAGCTTTCTTACCTCTTTTGCTACAGGTTTGCATGGTAAGTTAGAGTCACTTTGTGGAGTCATTGCCAGGAAGTCTAGTGTTTTTCACATAACTGAAGAGTTACATTTTGTTAAAATGCTTTGAATAGCCGTTTGTTTGTCTTTTCTCTCTTCTTACTTAGTGTTCTGTGGTGGCAATGCTTGTGTTAACTTGCAAAGCTCAGGCTTGGTTTGTTTACTTGTCTTTTTCAGTTTCCTTAGAAACACAAAGGCTGATTGCTGCTGTGATTTTAAATAAAAGTATATTCCTGAAGACACCTTTTTCTCTTTTCCTGTCCTCCCTTTTCCTGGACAAATTCTTTGGCTGGGTCCCATTTTATGCTAGTCAGGTCTTGCAGTGCTGCACTTTTCTATCTGAGGGTATGAAGAGACTTTCACTTAGGTCAGTTTGTTTCTTGCCTCTTTAAAGGCATTCATGCTTCTGTTTAAATGTTTCTGCATTCCTTGTAGGTTTTGAATTTTCATTTCAAAATACACCTTAATGTTCATACATTATATTCTTCTACTTGCATATCAGACTCTTGAAATCTTTTGGTCAAACTTTGCAGAGATTCATGTTTTCAAATAGAGATTGTATTTGTGTGGGGTATTTCATGTCTTTGCCTATTCATAGAAGTAGGTGTGAAGGTCTTGTTTCCATTTTTTTATCAAGGTTTTTCCCCCACCTTGTTCCAAAGGCTTTTATCTCACCTCAGAGAAACTCAGGTAGATATCAAAAATTCCGTGGGTTCACACCCAGTTTCTCTAAAGCTGTTTTCAGATTGCTTTTCAGATGTGTGAAGTTAAACTATCTTCCTCTTGGGAATTCTAAGCCTGTTTTCTTAATTAAATGCAATCTGATTCTAAAGCTAATTGAAACTCCACAGAAATTTTGAACAGATGCTTGGAATTTGGTCTTTATTTCTTTTTACTAGGAGAAGTTACTCATGTTGCTACTGGTAAGATTCCTTGTGAGTCCTAATATGAGTTACCCCACCAAAGAGACACCTGCAATTTGGTGTGAAGTTCTTATTTATCAAAAATTCTGTAATATTCTAATAAATATTCTCTAGGGAGAAATAGGTGACATTCTCTTTGTTCTTAGATCCTCTGAGTAAATTATGTCTTGGTGCATCCTTGAGGTTGTGCCAGTGAAGGTGCTATTCCAAAGCATGTAGCACATACAGTGCCTTAGAAATAAAGTGAACTCTGTACCCTGTATTTTTTCTCTGGCCTCTTTTGATTATTCCTTTACCAGATGGTAGAGACCTTTGTGCCTTGAGTGCAGAGGGATTCTGGACAGTGTTACCAGGACTTCTTTCTGCTGGGTCCTTCTTACTGCCTTGATTTGGCCATGACATCTACTCTTAGGATAACAGCTGCGTCTGCTTTGGCAGTGACAAATCTGTGGAGCACAACATTTTTCCTTTTTGCTAATTCTTTTAAGTGTAATGCACTGAGTGAATGTGTTTGGAACAGAACATGAGAGATTTGTCTCCAGACTCACAGGTCTTTGCACTCTGATTACCCAGGGGCAGAGGGCTTGGACAGCACTAGGAGCAAGCACTGGTCATCCTAAGCATTCCTGGTTTTACTGTGTCTTCCAAGTACCTTTCACTGTTTGCTTTCAATTCCTTCCACCACTTCTCTGCTCTCTTTTTTCCTAAACCTCACTGACTTTTTTCTTCATATTTGTAGAGCCTGGGGAGCAATGAAGCCAGTTAAGCCAGAAGCTACTCTGAATCTTCTGCCTTTTCAAGGCCATCATCTGTTTCTAAACATATTTTCCTCCACCCATCCTCTTTCTACAGAAAATTGTTTGTGCACTCTAAACTGTAAATGTTTGATTATTCTAAAATCTATTCAAATTTACTTACTTGCTGTGAGGTGTTGCTGTCAAAATAAACGACAAAATGAATATACACAGTGAATTGGAAGAAGTGTTGTGGTATGGGATAAAATGGGATAAAATCTTGTACTGCTTCAGAAGGAAAAAGCAGAAGATGAAGGTCAGTTTCATGATTATGTATTAGTCAGGGATCTTGTGTTCATGATTCTTCAGAAATATAGTGTTTTGGTGACTCAAACACTGAGAGCTCTTTGCATGTCTCTGTAAATTTGAATCAACATCTTCCAGAACAGATTTTGAATTTACTCACTACTTGCTGATTTGAAAGTTAATAAAAGCTAACTGACATCAGATTTATTTTTCATTTCTATGTGCTCACCTCTCTTATTTCTTTAAATTCATTGCAAATTTGAATGTTCAAAACCCATCCAGTTAATTTTAAATGTAAGACAGAACTTTGAGCTGTTTCTAATAATTTGTTTCCTGGTTCAGCTTTTGTTACTCATCAGTGAAATCAGATTTCTACAGCACACAGGTGGTCTAGACACACATTGTTCTTTGTCACATCAGGTTGTTACACTGTTGTAATTTAAACATAGGAAACTCTGAAAGCATGCAGCATCTGTCTGAAATTGGATTTAGCTATTATTTCTTTGTCCTATATTCCTTGCATATAGAAGAGGGATTGTATTGAGCTGGCAGTGAGACTGCTGAACTGTGCTCCTTTGAAATTTTGTGGTTTTAAAGTCATGGGGATGCTCTGATGAAATGGAAGGGTAAAAATGGGGTTTAGTTCTAGTATGCAGAACTTACTCTTGGACAGTGTTGGGTTTGTTAAAAGCCACAGAAGGTGTTAACAAAAAAGGAGTTAGCTTTATGATGTTGTTAAAATGTTGTTCCATAGTCTCTATGAAATAGGAATTGGTTTTTAGTCAAGAAGCTTCCAGGCCACAGTCCCTGTGCTAATGGTCAGATAGGAATTTTACAAAGTGAGTCTTTAGTCATGGGCTTAGAATGTTCAGAAAAAGGACAGTTCTGTTTTGCTGTAGTGTCATACTTAGGAGTTTCAAAGGTAGACTGGTCTGTGCAGTGATTATAAGATGTTATTTAAATGTTGCTTGATGGGTTAAGGACCAAGCCAAGTGTGTACTTTGGGGGAGGGAGAGATTTTCACTTGTATTCTAAGGCTTTTGCTTGCATAGAAATGATCATCTTTAATTGTTATGTGATCGGTTTTTATATTAGTGCATTATTACATTTAAGATATATCACACCCTATAGAGGTGAAAGCTGTCCTTTGTAGTAATTCTAGATGTTCTGTTCAAATTGCCCTTGTTTTTGTGGTGGAAGATTAAACTACTAAAATAAGAAAATGCATTGCACCAAGATCAGTGCCATCAGATCAGTTATACAGAGATTTAAATCTAGTCTCTTATGGATGTGGCCTTATCGTGTTCTATTCTTATTTTTAGGATTCTCCTTTTACAAATGCAGGATTGGGATCTAACCTAAACCTTCTGGGTGAGATAGAATGTGATGCCAGTATAATGGATGGAAAGTCATTGAATTTTGGAGCTGTTGGAGCACTGAGTGGTATGTTAATTATGTATTATAAAGCTAACTGCTGATTTAAGTGCAAAGATCAATTTCAGGCTTTTTGTTACTGATTTGAAGGGGGACACATTGTAAATTCTGCTGTGTTTAAATAAATTTTGCTCCTTTAAAAAAGGGGGAGACATTCCTGCTCCCTGAAATGCTGCTTTGTGTTAATTTCTTTGTGGAACTTGTCTTATTAGTTCACTGATAATCCTTTGACGTAGCACAGTTGTGTGATACCACACACTATTCACAGTGGGACTCAGTTTGCTGAGATGAATTTGAAGAATGACAATTTTGTAATAAAATGCAGTTGTTAAAAAGTATTACAATTATTTAAATTAGGCTTTTTATTTGATTTTTGCTCAGGCAATTTATTTGCACATGGGACTTGTTTAATATGAGAACTAATGTGTTTCTCTCTTTTTTCTAGTTTTAACTTTCACTGTAAAACAAATATAGATATAAAGTCCCAAACAGGGATTGTTGAGGCTTCATTCTAAGTATATGAACAGCCTTAGCTGTTGCTATTGAATAGCTTTTCTGACAGGATTTCAAGTTTTGTTCTTTATCCTAGAATAGTTCTAAACTGTGGTAATAGCTTCCTCATGTAGATATAAATCTAAAATAAATAGTGAAATTAAGTGTTTCAAGCCTTGTTTGTTACAAAATGTATCCTTCTAACCATGGGGAAGGAGGAAATTGAGAGTGAGAGACAGCTAAACCGGAGTCCTGTGATCTCTGTTCTGGCCAGATAGATCCAAATGAAAATTCCACCTGGAAAAATTAATGCTTACAAACATCTTTAACCCTTAGATACAGTAGATTTTACATGAGATTTCTGTGGTAGGAGATCACTCCTCCTATTTCAATATGGTTTGTTCTTTCTTTTAAAAAAAAAGTGGGGGAGGTGTTGACAAGGAAGGGTTTGTCACTACCAACAGCATGTGAAGGGAAAACTGAAAATGTTGTTACTACATTGAAACATAAGGTGTCTCTTAATTACTTGACAAACCCTTGGAAATTAAAGGAATCTGAGAAATTAAAGGAATCCACTGCCAAAATGAACTCTATAGTGCTATGAGGGAAAATATTTTAATGTTTTGTTCCCATTTTTTGCTAATTTTTCTTTTTTAGGAATCAAGAATCCAGTTTCGGTTGCAAATAGATTGTTGTGTGAAGGGCAGAAGGGGAAACTCTCTGCTGGCAGAATTCCACCTTGGTAATTGCTTTGTTCTGCTTGACTTTCCTTTGGTCTTTCATCTCTACTGCATATATGCAATATTTGAAGGTTTTATCTCACCCAGGAAGGCTGGTGCAGTTTTACATACCAGTGATAGTGTGTCTTTAAAAAGAAAATGAGCTTTGTTCTCTCATCTTGAAACTTCTTATGCACTCAGTGGAAGGAAGTATTAGATATAGATAGCAACATCATTTTGTGATGGTTTCTGTCTGTCTGATTATTTCCAGTTGTCATATTTAATTCTTATGTTTGTTACTGTAGCCTTTTGAAAAATACCCAAAACCATCAAGATTAAATGGAAATCTACTGCCTTTGTCTCTGTCTACCTTTTACAAAAAGCAACAGTTTTTAGTAACTATATAAAAAATATCCTATTTTACTGCCTTTGTGGCTTTGTGGAAATGTGCAGCATTTAGTAACTTCCTCTTATTTTAAAGATAAATTTAATAATATTTACAACAAAATGAAAGCAAGCAGTCCCTAAAACTTAAATGGAAGAGGTAAGTATTAAACACAGAATAACTCCAAATATTATTGCCTCACTTTGGAAAGAATCCAAGAAATGTGTCAGAGTTGATTGCTCTTAAAACCACCTTATTTTCATTGGCAGTTTAAATTGACAGGTAGAGAACTTGAATAATTTGTTCACATTCATTGACTGCTATCATCAGTTGTCATACCTGTGGCAGAATTTGCTACCCTTTGCCAACTAGTGGTCAGTATTTGCAAAAGTATTAAACCAGCATTTATGTAGTTAAAAAAGATGTGAATATTAGTTTTACACCTTTTACTTTCCTGACTGTAGTGTTCTGTAAAGTTAGCCTATAGCTGGGTGGTGCAGTGTTCCAGTTTAAACAGTGAGGATTTCAGTGTTCTGTCACGTGCAAAAAAAGTTCATAGATCAAAAAAAGCCACCTTGAAATCAAACCATCAGCAGGCAAATTTTGCATTTTAAATACTTTTCTTTAATGGATAAAGAACAGACTAATTGTGGAGAGGTTTACTAAAGAATAGGAACTTTATGTTCAATAGCTGTTAGCTGCTCATTTCTTTAGCTGTCAGGAGAAAATGAGGTACATTAGAATGTGAAATGAGTGTGAAATGTGTTTTTTTGGTGTTCCAGAAGTATTATTGAAGTCAGCTACAGGAGCAAGCACTTGGGATTGCTTTACTTGTATCATCAGTGTTCTAGAATTATTGTAAGGAAGAGCACTTGGATATTATGCTGTGGCTTTATGACCTAGTTTATGATGCTATTATTTTAAAAATACTGAGTGGAAAAGGAACTATATCCTCTTGTCCCCCAAGGGCAAGACTACATCTTTTGAGGACTGTGCAGGATTAGCAGATGCTTTTAAAGGCAGGGTAGCTCAGATCTCGAGGTGAGAGATGAGCTGTCTTTGGAACCAAGGCATGCAGTTTATTGTGCAGATGTTGTGCACTTGGGTTACCCGATAGAAATTTTCATTTCCTCTTTTCCCCCTTCTGGATTTTGAATGCACATTTTATTATGGCAATTTTTTTACCCTGGAAACAGTCTATACTAGTGGGATATGATGGGTTATGCTTTGGGCTTGCTGTGGTGGATGCTTCTATACACACAGGGTGTGCCAAGGTCAGAATCATAAAGTTCATGTGCATTGAAGGTGATGGAATGGAGGATTTCATGTCTTGCCTTTCTGGCTGGGGTTGGCATGACACATTGTTTTGGGACTGAAATATATTCCTGCCAAAGCTGGGAATACTTAGAGTCAAATGAGAAAAGATTAGCCATATTTTGGCATTCCTAGGAAGTGTCAGGATTCCAGTAAGTGATTTTTAATTGTAAAGATCCACGATTTTCATCTTGGTTCTCATTGGCATGTAGTGTATTGGGGAGTCTTCCAGATACTGCTTGGCCTAAGAACCTGCTTAAAGAAACCTATGGAAGAGACTGTTTCTATAGCATGATCTAAGCTAGCTTAATGTTTTCTACCAAAAATGCTTGGCACATGACCAAACAGGAAAAATTCAGGAGCTGTGAGGTTAGTAAAAGTGGCACTAGGGAGTTCTTCCACTATAAAAGAAGAGTGGAGATAGTTTGCTTGACCTGTTTATCCCTGTTAATACATTTTCATAGTGGCAGTTCAATCCAGTTCAAAGTGGTATATTTCTGATTTTCCACAGAAGAAGTTTCAATGAGTATGAATTAAGTTATTCAGAGATGGTAAGCTTTTTGAGATGGAGGGATCAAATGCATGAACTGATGTATCTAAAGTGCTGTAAATTCCTCTGTAGAGTGTGTCCTCTGGATCAATCCCTTGTGGTGTTATTTAAAACACAGAATCCCACTATCCAAATAGAATTTAAAAAGTTTAGAGAAAGACTGAGTGCATGGTGTGGTTGTTGAAACCTTTGAGGTCCTGACATCTTTCTGTCATACTTTATTCAGCTTGGTGTTGTCAGGATTTTCTCTGATGAAGGGACAGAAAATACTTAACTTGTAGATATTGCATAATCTCCTGTAAGATATTCCTGTTCCTTGTATAACTTTTACAAAAGAAAGTACTTTTGTAATTGCATGGTTGCAAACTGGATGAACCTTTGGAAGTGGAGTTTGAGCACAGAGTAATGGATGTTTTGTAGTAATAAGCTTGAAGATTTTCTGTTTCCTACTGTGAAACCTTGACCTAAGGAAAGAGGCTTCTTTACATCTGCCTGCTCTTAAATGTAAGATTTGGTAAAATTTGCAATACAGCACAAATGCACCTAAATGTCTCCTTTCTTAGAACTCAGTAGTAGTACTGCCATTAACTCCATGTCCATATCCCTTTCTCAGTAATAACTATTTGGGAAAGAATTCCTTCTTAGGTTTCCCCTTGGGATATACAGAGATTTGTGATTTCTGCACAGCCTTACACTGTTAAGTGCAGGATACAAACATTGTGTAAGCAGTAGGGCAGTGCCTAGTCATAGGCACTGTTCCCAGGAGGAATGAAGACACACCACCTTTTATTCCTGCTCTGTATTTCTTCTGAACAATTTCTTCTTTGTAACACTGATTTCAGAGTGATTGCTACATTTTATGATAAAATGTTACAAAGTGTATTTATTACCATGCAGATCACCTTGACCATGACCCAAATCTTCTGACACTTCTCTTTAGCTTGGAGCAGCCTGTTTCCCTACAGCCCATATTAAATTAAATTAATGTTTGGAGTATTCAGCACCAGCATAATCATGTTCTTGGAGAAAATTGCCTAAAAAGACCATTTTAGAGGCCTTTACTTATGTTTTCTATTAATATGGCCTAGTGTGCCTGGAACTGGAAAGCACATTGAGCAGCACCTCCTTGCTGGGAGGGTGTTTTCATCTTCTGTGTTCTGAGCCTGTAAGAACTACACAGTACTCTGATATATTTGCAAGCAAGATCTTTATGTCCTGTTTGTGCAGACCCAGCTTTCAGAGTAGCAGAGAATAAACTCATTCATCCTTTGTTTATATATTTGTTTTTCCCCTCCCTTTGGAAGATTGTATTTTGAATTCGCCTGAAGGCTTTTGAAACTTGGGGTGGTTTTGACTGCTTTCTATAGTGCACTGGCTTTATTCCCTCTTCTCTCTCCCCCAATAAATCAAGCTTGGTGGTAGTTTTGTTTTTATGTGCAGACAACAAAGCATTGAGATCCTGATGCTATTTGTCTTGTAAACAGTATATTTTCACTTTTCTGTGGTTATGGTGTCCTTTAAAGATCCAAACTGAACAGTTTAAAAAAGGTGGATGATCTCTGTGGTGATATGGAGCCTCAATTAGTTTTCTGCTCTGATTTAAAGACTCTTTGGAACTAAAGCTGTATGTGTTCTGGGAGGGAAAGGAATCTAAGGATTAAGGACTGAAATGTGAACAAACTAAAAGTCACATCACATGAGTTAGGAGATGGGTGCTTTTTTGCACTCTTCATAAAATATTAGTGACATTTTCTGGTTTTAAGTATTAAAAAGGCAGCTGTGAAACTGCTTGTAAAACACAGTATTTCTTACTCACCTGTGCTTGAATTACCATATATCAAACTCCCAATGTTGAGTTTGATGTTTTTCCCACCTAACATTTCTCTCTGTGTAAATTATTTTATTGAAAAGGAAGTGCTTATTTACTTGCCAAAAATGTGTTGTTTGATAAACACCAAACCTACCTTCTTTTAGAAAATGAAGAATACTTCTAAATTAGGTTTGGCTGCAGTTTGCATATCTTTTTTATGTTAATATTGAAAGGTTTTTTTATGTTATGTGTCAGTGCTAGGTTGTTTCTTGAGCACTAACTTATCTAACAGTAGATGCTTGAGTTCTGCCCAAGTACCCAATAACTTATCCTACAGTATCTTGCAACGAGAACAATTCTTACCTGAAGCTGCACTAACAATGGTAAGAAATATGCATTTAACAATTAAAATTCTCATTTAAATCAACCTCTTTTGAGACTTTAGTAAAGAAAGACTGGGCATACCTCTTAGATTGGTTAAATCATATAGAAGATAGAAATTACCACCACAAAATACTATATAATGGAAGCTTGATGTTGGATATAGCACTGTCAAGAAAACTTTCAGCAGCATTAATGCCAACAAGTTTGCTATATCAGTAGTGTTCTCAGAAACTGAGAACTGCATAGCCCCAGGGACCACTTTGTAGCTGGAATAACTTCTTTGGACTCATCTTCTTAACTCTGGCATTTCAGTGAAACTATTTCCAATTTGCTGAAAATTCTTAATCCTTGCTTCTGATGTCCATTAGGCAGTTGTGTTATTCTTAACTTCATTGTCATTTTTGAAATAAGATTGGAAGTAGTTGTCCTTTATTGTGTTGCACAGCAGCTTTATGAAAGGGTCTCATTTCCAGCTACTACATCCCCTTTTTTTTGGCAATAAGATTAATTTCTCTAGGGGGAAACAACATGAGGTTTGCTTTTTCTTCTATCCCTAGAAGTTCCATGTGTGTGTATATTTTTTGCTCTTGTTTGTTGTCACAGCAGTGTGTACTGTCTCACTATAGTAAGGTGTTCAGTGCTGACTAGAAAACAGCTTCTCAGGTGGCTGGAGGTTTTTTAAAAGTGTATTTAAAATTTAGTGGGCTAGTCTCATTTGCAAATGATTGATAAAACTCCATGAAATAGACTTTAATACTTCTAAATAAAGTCAGTTTTTAACTTGTGTTGTGCTTCTCAAAATACTGCGTGCTATTCCTTTGACACTGACTGGTTTTACTGGAAATAACATTTTCACCTTTCTCATCCCATGTTTTTGGTCTTCAGGATCTTGCTAAGTTGTTATAGAGAGCAAGATGTGAGACAGCTCTGTCCTGTTTTAGCTGCAGTTGAAAGCTGATGCTGATTTTGTATTGAATTTCAAATTTATTAGCACTTGGTTTTGTCCAGTAATAAATTTAATGTCAGAGCTGCATAATCTTTTAATGAAACTACATAAGCTTACCAAATGTAATTAATAGCAGACAGTCCTGTGAAATATAGACAGCTTATGATTTAAAATTGACCAAACCAAATAGAAAAAAATAATTGCAAGCAAAGGGGGATTTGTTATATGGTTTTGTTTAAACTCCCTCTTCTGTGTCTCCTAGCTTTTTAGTTGGTGAAGGAGCTTACAGATGGGCAGTTGATCACGGGATACCAGCATGTCCTCCAGGTATCATGGCTACAAGTGAGTAAACTGGTGGTGTCAGTAGGAAGAACAGGACAGAGTAACTTTAAATGGTGCCTCATCTTTTGAGGTGTGCATCACTTCATTGTTCTTAACATTCAGCTAGTTTATGGTGTTATGGTCTATAAGGGTTGTTTAAGTTTACTAATTTTCTAATAAGTATCTAAATAAAAAAAATTGTAAATTATTACTTTAGCTGCATTTTAGCAACATCTAATTTAAGTGATTCTGTGATTCTAGGACTAAATCCAGTGATGGACTTCTTTGTAACTAAAATGTAGGCTCTCTAAAAGCTCAGTCCTACAAGTCTCCAGATGTGATCCATCTTGGATCCTAACAGCACCAACTAGCTGTGGATCAAAATTCAGCAGGTGTCAGTTTGTCTCTGAGATTGTGTAGTTACACCCATGTCTGGGGCTTTGTTCAGAACTGCTCTTGTCTAAACAAGCTGTCCAAGTAATTTGCCTTTTTTTTTAACCTGTGGCTTCACTTCCTACCTACCCTGATAGAATAACCCAATCTGGAAAACAGACTTGGGTTATACTGTATATTAACCCTAGTTTCTTAGAAAAGCTTCTTGTCTTAAAATTAAAAAAAAAAAAAAAAGTGATTGTCTTATATTGATACATCATCTATGAACTAGGCTACAAATGAATGCACTTACCCATAGAAAGGAGGATGTGGTTCTCTTCCATCTATTCTTCAACCCTCTTCCCTTTTGGAAAGTGCCATAACTACAGGTCTGTAGTTTGTTTTAGGTGAGAACATGCCCTGTGCTGCCTGTTGAGGTTTTGCAGGAAAAAAATCAGAAGTTTTTACCCAAAGAAGGAGAACACAGAAGATTAGGAATGTTTATTTTATAGTAAGCAGTACTGCTCCTTCAAATACCTGACTCATCCCTAGATCAGAGGTTGAAACCCAGGGCTCCCATTAAGCCTTTTATTTGGTCTAATTTTAAATGTAGATAAATATCTGGCAACTGCAGCTCTGAAGTTTTCGATGCTCAGTGCTGAAGTGTAACCCCAGAAACAGTGGCAGTGTTTTATTTGATTGCACTGATTTTCACATGTATTCATGACACATTTAATTTTGAACAGAAAGTTTTGATTTCTAGCTCCACATGAAACTTTTGCTCTAGCTGCTTTCCAAAACAGCATTTTCAGAACTACTGTAGTGCTGAGTTGAGCAGAACACCTTTATTTCTGTGGCTCTAGAAAGAGTAAAACCACTAAATACTTTGAAGTTTTTTTGGGGGGGGAGGAAGGTTGCCTTTTTCTGGGTTTGGTTTTTTTTTTCTTTTTAGGAAAGCAATTGCTACTTACATGCAGGAGATACTTCACAAAGAAGGTGCCTTGACTAATTCTGTTTGCATGCACAGATTTCAAGTGTTTCTAGTACCAGTGTGTTTTGATTGTGACATTTATTGGCAGGTGATACGTTTGCTAGCTACAATGTACCCAAGTCAGAATAAATATGCATATTACAGTTTAAAAATAAGGATGGCCACTGCTAGTTTGGTTGGCCTGATCTATACTGTGAATTTACATTGGAGAAACATCTGAAGAATAATCCCATCCAATGTATTTTCACAATCCTGCTCCAATAGACCACTGCTCGCGTTTTGTGTCTGCAGTATATTCAGCAATCTTCTATTTACTAAAACAATTTGCAATAAAACAGTTGAAACAACCAGGACTGACAAGTGAATTTTGCAGTATAGTTATTAATGGTAGTACATCTGAGGTTCTTTTTGTTTCTTTGAAAAAATTAATGCAAGAGTAAATAAGAACCTGAAGAATCAATTCCAGAAAATGTTGCACTGATTCCTGTCCCAGTCCTTAGCTAAATAAATCTTGTGCTTCATTGACCTCTGGTCAGTGGGATTGGAAAATGGGATTGTTAAAAGTGAAAAGAAATTGGAAACTCACAGGTAACATTTAAGAAGCCAAAATAAATTTATCCAATGTTACCATGGAAAGGAAAGTTAGATATGCTTAAGAAACAATCAAATAGAATGTTGTTTCCAAGCAACCACAAAGAGATCTCATCTGAAGTCAGCTGTTTTGTTAAATAATGTGCCAATCTTCAGAAAAAGGGAGACTTTTTTGATTGTGCTTGCTACCAGTGCTTTGTTGAATTTTGCTTGGAGAACTGGGGTTCAATTAAGTAAACATCACGTATCTTCTGAATAGCTCTGTAAAAGAAAGAACTGAACTAATTGCCAAACATCAGGAAAATATCTTCAGTAACTTATTTACAAAAAACCAAAATGAAATCTCCTCCAAAAGCCTCTAATCCAAATTTAGATGTGTACTTGCAGTAAATAATGGCAGGGAGAACTGTGTGCGTGTTTTGGCTTCTCTGTGCTGCACATGAAAAATATATTTTTGAATTTGTCTTATTCTGTCTTCTTTTTCTTGGACCTGAGATGAGAAGAGTAATGTTCTAGCTGCTGTCAGTGAGGCTGGGGGATTGGTTTGCAGGGATGGAGCTTCCCTGTCATCAGTATCAAAGAAAGAGTCACAGTCTGCTTTGTGCTCATGCTCCATAGTTCTCTCAGAACTATCCAAGTATCTAAGCACCAAACTGGAAGCATGTTCTAAACCATGTTACTTGTTGAATTCCATCAAGATTTTGTCAAGGCTCATGTGCTTCATCTTCTTTGGTTTGTCAAGTGTGTGAGGAAATGGGATTTTTACCATTTGTAGAAACCTGGTGACTTTCTAAAGTGGGTGGTTTTAAAAAAAAACAAACCCAAGCCCCTGAAATATGATCTGTTTGTATTGCCCACAGTCTGCAAGGAATCTGAATTTATTAATCCCTGCCCAAACTAGAGGCTGCCAGTACAGAGCCCAATACTGGCTTATCCCAGTGCTTTGTTGCCCTGTGCTAGAGAGACTGCTTTGACAGTGTAATCCAAGAGTTAAGGTGTAATTACAAATTAGAAGTGCTGAATTACTGTACATTGGAGTCTCTTAAAAATGTTAAAAGTACACTTTAAATATGCAATGTAAATTCGAGGTACACCCTCAACTGCCAATATCTGTGCCTGCATTAGTAATAACCAAAAGACTTCTATCTGAAATTATCAGCTCAGCCTATAATAGATGTAAATTATCTTTGACAAAGATAACATGGGGTAAGACAGCATCTTGCATTTGCTTGCAATGTTAAGCCTTCAAAGGGAAAGAGAAGGAAGGCACCTCCTCATGCAGCAAACTTGTAACTCTGACAATGTGGAAGTGACTGTAAGCACCTCAGTGAATAATGTTATATAAGAACAAAACCAGCAGCAGTGGATCCACATAACTTTTCAACTGCAGTTCAAGAGTAGTCATAAAGAAGATGCTTAAGGAAGGATGTAAGAACAGAGCAAGTATTTGCTTCCCTTCCCTTCCCCTATCCCTTATATTATTCCAGACTCTAAATTCTGTACTTGTTAGTGACTCTGGCATACATGGAAAGTAAACAGTGGCATTTGCTGACATGAAATTTTTGTTTCTTTTTGAACCCATATTAGTTTCCAGCACCTGCAAAAACCTTTACAACTATGAGTTACCTCATTGTCATTATTTTGAGACTTGCTGAATAAAAGCTGCTACTTCATTGTCAGAATCCTACTCAGAATCCTTCTTCAGTCAAATCCTCAAATTACCTTGAATAACTTCATGTTATCAGTAAAATCACATCTTGTTCAACAGATTCAGGGCTGCTATGGGTTGGTTTGAAATTCTACTTGTAACAGACCATTTCTTTAGTTGTACTTTATTTTTTTAACTGTGTGCATGCAAGGAAATTCCTGTTTATCCTAAGGCTGCTTGGATTCTTTAATGAGGGAGAGTCTTTTCTGGATGAGTGTAGTGCAGACTGTGCTATTTCTAATGACACTGTCTCCCTGACCACCAGTATTGCCTGCCTCTCCTCCAAAACCCCAAATCTCACTCCCAGTTCTCTCATGACTTCATTGTTATTGTATTAAGAAAAACACTTGCTGTATTGCTGAAACTGTGCTATGAATTTCAGGCAGTGGCTCAGACCATGCTTCCTTTGTCTTTAAGGGGAGGATGAAAGATTTGGAGAGAAACTCAAGGGTTCTGGGCATTTGGTTAGGAAGCTTGGTTAATCTGAACACATGATGTAAATCTTTCCTGGATTTGGAGACAGTAGGGTCACTTTTTGTTCTGAAATCTGAGCAGCTGAGTGCAGCCAGGAGAATGGCTGTAAGTTACCCAGGAAAAAGGTTGGGCCAAGGTGCCCAGAAAATACTTTGAATGAAAATCTTCCAGGCTCAGGAAAGGCTGCTTGATGACAAACAAGATTTCTTGCAGGAAGCAGTAAGAAATGCTGTGTCCAGCGGCAGTTTACCCTGAGTTTGTGTTGTAAAGAACAGATCTTCAGTCTAGTGCTCTGAGAGATAGGTTTTTTTTTTTAATATGCTTGTAAGTGCCTTTCCCCCCCATTCATTTTGCTGTTTCTGTCAAAAATATGGCAACATGGAAGCTATCTCTAGCAGTCTTTTAGTCCCAACACAAGCCTAAGTGGTGTTAATCTGTCATTTAAAATAGCTTTGTTAAAAAGAAATTTATTTTCATCTTCCTGTTTCAATTTGTGTCATTTATTTTAGCAACTGCTCAACAGAATTCTTCACAAGATCATTTGAATTCCTGTGGGTTAACTAATTTGTTAGTATATTCCTTTTTAATTCTCTTCTCCAATAGTTGCATTCTCTTTTAATATGGAATAGAAAGATAAATTGCAGAAAGCTTCTGCCAGCTGACTCTAAGCACTGTCTGCCAGGGGGTGCTATATGATTGGTCAGAGCTCCATCTCTACTTCAAAGATTTTAAAATATTCTTGGGGCTTTTGTAGTATTTTCAATTTATAGTTTGATTTTAAACAAGAATAGCTGGACACTTAACAGGTTGCATAATATTTAGTTGCATAATAATTTGTAATGTGTGTGACTGAAAGTTGGTATTTGGGGTTTGTGTTCCCAGCTT